ATTGGTGCAGCGTCACCTTCACTAAGTCCAACACCACAATCTTCTCCGTCTACTCCCCGATCTATGCTAGGGAGCCTAATCAGAGCCCGCTACCCGCTCTCGCATCGTGCACGCCGTGCTGTAGAGCCGCCTTCGTCGGAGACTTCAACATCCATCACCCGCTCTGGGATATCCATAACCGAACGTCGAACAACTGCGACGACATACTAGAGCTGGCGAGCCGATGGAACCTTGCGCTCGCTACGCCCGAGGGCGAAATCACTCGTCTTGGTGGACCGGGTAAGCGTGACAGCACGATAGACCTCGCCTGGGTCTCGCGGGACCTCTCAGCGACGTACCTCGGCAGAGCAGATATCACAGGCTCAGACCACATCCCGCAACTCCTACAACTCGACGTTGGACCGCCTCCGCCCGCTTACGGCTCCGAGGACTTCCAATAAACTGGCGCCTACTTGAACCCAAACGCGCCCGCGCGGAGGCGACGACGCGTTTCAGGCCCTCGATTGCCCCTTCGACACCGCAATCCCCTAAAGAAATTGACGATTATGCCGACTGGCTGGTCAACCAACTGACAGAAATCGCCTATCGCGCTGCGCCCAAGGTCCGCGGTCGAGCTGATGGAGGCAGGGAAGAGTGGTGGACCCGCGACGTTGAAAACGCCACCCGGGCGGCTAAGCAGGCCGAGAGGCTCTACTTAAGGACCAGGAACCCGGCCCAATGGGAAGCGCGACGCGACGCCGTAGCGGCACAGGATCGAGCCGTACACGAGGCGTGCCGGAGCGCATGGAGGAGACATCTCCACGACGCCTCAAAGACGAAAGGCATCTGGGTCTTGGAGCGATGGGCCAGACTTAGAAGCACCCAACCGCCTGCACCATTACGCCTCCCCGACCTCTCACGAGTAGAAGGCGACCCGACCCCAGCTCGCACGCGCGCCGACAAAACCAGAGTGTTGGCCGAAAGATTCTTCCCGACACCCTCGGCCGCCCATCCCGACGCTACCGGGGGCCCCGCCCGCGAGCCGGTTACGATCAGCAACCACTTCTCCCTCGAGGAGGTCGAGCAGGTCATCAAACGGACGGCACCATGGAAGGCGGCGGGGGAAGATGGTCTGCCCCTGGGGTTAATAAAAGCCTGCGGTAAAACAGTCGCTATCTCTATCCTTACATTGCTAAACTCTAGCTGCGCCCTCGGGTATTTCCCAGAGCGCTTTCGCCGCGCAGACGTGGTGGTTATCCCCAAACCCAACAAGACCCAGACTCAACTTAACCTAGCAGGCAGCTGGCGCCCAATCTCCCTCCTCAGCACGGTGGGCAAGATTATAGAGGCGACGATCGCACGGCGGCTCGCCGATACTGCGGAGACGCATCTACTGCTCCTCGAGGGACAGATGGGCAATCGGCCTAGACGTTCTACGGAAGCAGCAGTCCATATTGTCGCAGAACTGGCGCGCAAGGCGTGGGATCGAGGCGGTGTCGCGTCCTTTCTTCAACTCGATCTCAAGGGTGCTTTTGACAGGGTAGACCACACCTGCCTCCTCCAGGCTTTAAAAGGGAGAGGTATCCCGGAATGGCTCCTAGCCTGGATCCGGAGTTTCGTAAGCAACAGAACAGCTCGCCTACTCTTCGACGGCGACGCGTCGGACCCCTCAGCATACACGCAGGCGTCCCCCAAGGATCCCCGCTTTCCCCGATCCTCTTCCTCTTCTATATCGCCCCCCTTTACGACGCTCGAAGCAACGGCGGGAACCATACTAGTCGGCTTCGCGGATGACTCGAACATAATTGCCTTCGGCAGAACCACAGACGAAACCGCTGAAAGGCTCGAAGGAGCATGGACTGCATGCGAAGGCTGGGCGCGCGCTGTAGGGCAGCGTTCGGACCGGCGAAAAGCGAATTGATGCATTTCACACGCGCCCACGCCCCGCCCGAGACATGCGTTCGCCTCGGCAACACCACGATAGCGCCGTCAGAGTCCTCCCGCTTCCTCGGAGTTTGGCTTCACCGCAAGCTCCAATGGGGTCCCCACCTTAAGCAAATCCAGACCGAGTTTCAGCGCCAACGGGTTGCACTTACCGCGCTCGCTGCGTCTGCGTGGGGATGTCGACTCTCGCGCGCACGGGAGATCTACACCAAGGTTATCCGCAGCGCCATCGTCTACGGAGGCCCAGCCTTCCATACGCCTACGCCACCGAACGGACGCCCAAGGGAAGTGGCCCGGGTGCTCTGCGGCCTACAAACGATGTGCCTTCGAACCGTTGCCGGCGCGTATAAAGCCACACCAACCCGCACCCTAGAAACAGAGACCGAAATCCCTCCGCTTGACCTCTACCTCAACGAACGACTAGCCAGATTTCAGAGTCGACTCGAGACCTCGGGGATGGCGGTGCGGCTGCGCCTGGCCTGCGCAAAAGTCAGCAGCGTGCTTCGAAAGCGTAAGGGTCCATGGCGCAAACCCAGAAATGACCGCGAGGAGTGGCGACAGCGCTGGTGCACAGGCTCGACGGAGCCTCGTGAAGCTCTATGGCGTGAATGGACGAGAGGGTGGGAAAGAGAACTGCGAGACGCGAAGGCACGCCATCCTCGTCGCGCCCTCCAACCATCAGACACGGAACCGCCCCCTCCGAAGCCCGGGAGAAGGCTGAAGGCCCACGCCGACCTCTACAAGCACGAGAGAGAGCTCCACGCTTATCCAGCTCCGCACGGGGAAGATAAGTCTTAACAGCTTTCTCTATCACAAGAACGTTCCCAGCGCGACGACCCCCCTCTGCCGGTGCGGTGGCGGGAGGAAACAGTGTTTCACGTCTTCCTCCGCTGCCCCCTACAAGCTGACAACCGCAGGCTCCTCCCAGGCGCCCTCCGCACTGACGCCGACCTCCGCGCGCTTCTTGTGCGACCCGATACAGCCCCATCCCTCGTCCGATGGTTTCTCAACTTTCGGCCGATACCCCACTACAAGGTAGCAGCAGATCTCGCAAGAAGCTGGACCGCCAGCGCCGCGACAACGACACGATCACGAGCGGACGGAGTAGAAAGAGAACAAGGTAGCGTGAAGGTCTTTACTCTTGTCGGCTCCCAATCCCAAACAGCCGCGAAGGGCCTGCACGCACTGCCGGGGTCTCGACCCCACAATGGTGTCAATCGCGCCTCCCCTGGCCCCTAGTACGGCTCACTCGGGAGCTTGGCGGACCGTGGACGACCGACCGAACACCAGCAAGAAATTCCTGAGAAAGGAGGTATAAGCGGGATAGAGTTCTCCGTCGCGCTGCGCGCGCGTTGACGGCTATTCGGGTATAACGCGCCTACGGGACCTGACGCCCCGGCTCAGTTGGGACGGAGGTCCCCCACCTGCACCAGGCTGGCGGCTGCGACCCATCATGCTCAACATCGCGACGACGGCGGCCCGCGGGCCGAGGCAGATGAGAAGGTTGTATATAGGTTTTCCTCCTGGGCCACCGGGTTTTTCCTATATAGGTAACGAGTAGACGCTCTAGAGCCTGTAGGCTAGCTAGTGTAATAAACTACTACTACTACTACTACTACTACTACTACTACTACTACTACTACTACTACTACTACTACTACTACTACTAAGTTACTACTACTCTAGATTCTTCAAATCCTCCTGGTGAGACCCAAGGGCCATCGCGCTACAATACCGATAGTTATGTCTTGTGAACAAACATTTCTACTGCCCGGTCTAGTTATTGTAATGTGGTGAAGTCGCCACCAAAAAGTTCAGTCTTGAATTTGCTGCACTGTCGAGGGCTTGATGCTCGTCAGAGAGCAAGAAAAGGCCAAAAGTGAGGGCCATAGATTTTGATACTGCTTAACGAGGGCACGCGATCTGCTCGTCCTTTGTTTTTGTACTGAAGAGTGTGAAAATAGAAGAACTATTCGCCACCAAGAAGCTCAGTCTTGGATTTGCTGCATTGTCGAAAGCCTGATGCTCGTGTAGGCGCAATTAGACATTTGGACAAGAAAGCTCTGTAACCGCTCACCCGCTCGAAAAAATGCGATTCTCCTACGTGCCACCCAGAGCGGCCAAAACATGCTCCTGACTGCTCTCGCACTATGCCGGCAAGAGGAGCGGTACGTACTGACAAGGGCAGGCTGTGCTCCGCAAGCCGCCATACGCATCAATCCGCGCTCATGCTTCACACCACTTGAAGCTGCCGAAGCACGCCCAGCCACGCATGAGCCAGAATGCGCTCCCACTGTCTTGTTTGTCGACATAACCTCGATCGTTCGAGTGTGGCAGCCATCTTCGGCAGAGGGTGTGAAGGAGGAAAGGGTTTGGGACGGGTGTGGTGGCTTGCGAAGCGATGCCTCAGAATCCTTGCTAGATGGTGCATCATGCCTGGGTAAGGTGGTGTGAAGAGGACTGAGCGCGCTAGCTTGCCAGGTGTGATGGTGTGGATGGTGTGACGCAGCCTATTTTGGTCCCGCTTGATGGTCAAATGCGACGAGGACACTCATGTTGGCTAGGAAATGCGGCAAAAGCGAGCATTAAATTGATTGTCTCTAAATGCTTTGATGTTTTGCTCTCCCACCGCCCCCACGCGACGAGCCGTGAAGGTTGCTGCACCACCTTACTACCTCTCGAAGATTCACATCTCCTTTTCCTCGGCAAAGAGGATGACCTGAATTCTAGGAAGCCGATTGCGCCCATATCAGGCTGCATCACAAGAATCTCACTGGAACAGCTCAAAGTTCACGCGATTAAAAGAAATGGCTCGCAAAAGACATAACAGAAAACAGAAAGAGGCAGCTCGCAAGAGAGGCCCAGTCTGTTAAACAAGGGCTACGACGTCGGGCGAAAGGCGGACATTATCGCGGGGCTTTCTACTGGGAGCCAACTCATCATAAGTGGATGGTAAAAGCCATGTGCCCCGAGGCCTGGAACTGATTTGAACCGAGTTGTAGGTTAACATCTGCGATTCGAGTTGCGGTTTCTTCGGCTTATCGTCGAGCTGGAGTGAAATGGGAGGTTGGCCTCTAATGCCTGTGCAGTTCCAGGCCAGCGAGGACTCGGCTTCGCTGGATGACAGGGACAGTTTGACGCCCGACTCTGTAGATAACGCTATCCAGGCTCCAGTCGAGCCCGAAGCCGATGGTTTCAACACGGACGAGAACTCCTCTGAAGGGATCGACCAGATCCATGACGATATGCCTCACGACGCGGAATCAAGTAGCCAGCGTGGCGATGGCAATGGCTGGCAAATGGTTGGGAATAACGATTCAGCGTCTACGACTGAGGCTCAAGATGACAGTTTTCCATCGTCATCCAAAGACTGGATGACGGCAGTCCCCAAGTCTTTCCTGTCACCTTCCATGTTAATTCAAGACGAGCTGGATACGCTTGAAAGCATTCATGTGCAGAACCAGCTACCAGAGTGGACGAACGTTATCGGCACAACTTCCTGCCAGGTAGAAGCGGCAAACACCTCAATCAAGGCCACCCTTGCCAGACCATCTCCAGGACGAGGTACTGCAGAGGGAAGGGGGCAAATGGTGGCCCTCGCGATTGACCTTGGCCTATTTCTGTTCTAGTTTTTGAAAGTCTCTACCCTACTAAGAAACAGGCAACCTCCGAGTACTTGATCATCGCGTAGACGTTGTTGACCTCTAACCGTCTGGTGACCCGGCATATGTTGAGCTAGAAATTACGGGGCAGATCCAACAGTCCAAAGCCATGATCAAGCTTCCTGTGCATTCTCGTAGCCAGTAAGCGCTGCTTGCATCTCTGGTGGCTGAATCACGGAGCTGACGGAAGCTCAGCACAGTAGTTGGGTGGCGAATGGGCGCAAGAGTCGTGATGAAAGTGGTGATGTTCGTAAGTGACTATTGGTCCTTTTTTTGGACTCGGCCGGCAATGTGAGCACAGATCATCGATGACCAGGCTCTGGCGTCCACACCGAGCTCGAAAATAGCAGTATAAAAGCCCGGGAGTCCGATTCGAGTTTTGCAGGTCCGAACTCGAGCCTTTGGCAGTTCTTACAAATAAAGAGAAGCTCCAGTCGAGACAGCATTTTGACGAATTCGATCTCGACGGCAGGGCACGAGATAATACGACCCGCCACCAGCTACATAGCGGGCTACACCGTTCGTGTTTATACCGCGAGAGGACGCTTTGCTTCACTGTATCGTGGCGGGAAATGGCTGCAGCATGAATTGGAGCGGAGTGTTCGCTTTTTGTTCGTCATATAAAAGAACGCTTAGCCTCAGTTCACAAATCTAGTAAATCGTTGCAGAATATGTCCTGCAAGCACAGCTCCTGGTTACGACTCGTGCGGAAAGAGGGCGAAGTGAAGCTTCAAGCCACGAACCGACCTGATTGTCTCATCGAATCGCTGCGCGACCTGATGTTGAGACACCGAGTCTTATCCTCCTGGTAGGCAACCGAGCTAAGGCCAGGGCGCTGAAGCAATTGGGGTTAGACACTTGGGAGGAGCGGACACCGTGGCCACGGGAAGTTCACCTTTCTTGTCGACAGCGTGCAAGCGGAATCCAAGACCCTTGCTGCTAGCGGAGACGGACATTCCGTCCCACAATCGACTCCAAAGCTCTGGCCAGCCTCAACGATGTCATGAGACCATCGAATACAGCTTACCGATGAACGACGAGAATGGTTCTCTGAAATATGCTTGCCTGGCTGCTGGCGTCCATTATCGCATACTGTTTCCTTTCTCAGACGTCGTATGTCTATTCACCGACGATCTTGGCGGCATCGCAGATGCAGTTCAGCAGATCTCGCGTTGGATCGACAAAGGACAGCCCTCTACGCCTTATATTCTACCCCATATCCTTCTGGTTACAGAGAAGGAACTAGGTGTACACGAGTATACCGAGTTCCAAGATCTTTTGCGGTCTCAAAACTCCATGGATCCCTACAACCGTTGCAAGAAAATCCGCCTCGTAGGTCTTTCTACATGGGTAAGGCTAAGAAGAAGCCGAACCTATCATCATACTAGCTGGGATCAATTCAAGAACGAGCTATATAGCTCTGTCATTGACATGCAGAAATCGCGTGGTTGCAATCACATGTTGTTCTCTGCGACGCACCTCGCACGCCTTGTGCACTGCGCCGCCAAACAGCAATTAAGTCAACTAGAGCCATTCGACTTCGTAAGAAGCTCTCGCTCAAATAACACGGTGCCCGAGAAACTATCGACCTATTTGAAAGACTTCCTCAGGAGATTTGATTCTCTAGAGAATCTGAAGAATTTCGCCATACCGGTCCTGGCCTCCAGCTTCATACTGGATCAGTATGTACCGCGAATGCATGGTAAGCCTTTATTATGTCGCTCCCAAGGCTGTTTCACGGTTTGCGCCTGAGCTAAGCGATACCCTAGCCTTTAAGCCACAATTGATCTTTGCCGCATTGTACAGGCAAACATGCATCAGTGTATGCAGGAGGCTGTTCTTGCTCATAAAATTCCTTTCCATCGGATTTTACTTTCTTCGTTCGCCACTTTTGTGGAAAAGAGCTACTCTCTCAATTTGAATCGTACCTGTCTTATGGCAAGCCTGCTGCAACTTTCCATCGCGAGCAACTGGCGCGGTTTCGACAAGACTGGATACGGTTTTATTCCGAAGATACATGTTTCAGCTGTCTCTTTCGGCGTCCGATGTACAAGCTACCTTGTGGTCACCTCGTGTGCCTGAATTGCCTGAAGGTCTTTGGCCATAAAGATGACAGCAAGCTATACCTTTACTCTTGTCTCTTGTGTGGGATGGACAGCTTAGGTTTTCGAATAACGATCAAACCAGACACAGCATCAGTCCGTGTTCTGAGCATAGATGGGGGAGGGACTCGTGCGCGCATACCTTTAACCTTCCTCCAGGAAATACATAACTCCGTCAGGCTGCCATACCCGTCCAAAACCACTTCGAGGTTGCCTACGGAACTAGCTCAGGTACAGTACTGCCGTTCTACCGCTCGCGCAACAGAAGCTTATCAAACCAGGGGCCATCAGCGTTTGCGGACTTTTCATCAACGGTTGGCCAATAGAAGATTGCATAGCTTCTTCTGAAGCGATAGCGAAGTTAGCCTTCAGGCCTCGGAGTGTGTCTCAACTTCCTCTAGCATGGCTTCCTCCTATTCGTGTCTTTTGGCAGATTCTGCTATCCCTAGCATATGACTGCAGGTATCCTGCTCGAGGACTAGAGAAAGCATTGCAACAGCTTTTCGGCACGAAGCGCGGCATTTTAGATCAATCAGCAGCAACGGAGATGGGACAGTTTGTTGGCATGCCAGTAACAGCAACTGGCGATGCCAGTACATATATCGTTACCAACTATAACGGTGTTGGGAACAGTGATGAAAGGGCCGGTACGTTCGTTCCTAGTGTACGGCGCCGCGGATCGATCCGCGCTTGGCGCTGATCTCATCGCCTATAGGGTATCGGAATATTCAGCCGGCAGCCGGTATCAGCGGCGTTCCTCTTTGAAATTGTAACAAACAATGCCATCCTCTACCGCACGATGAATGCTAACATTTTGAGTAGTCTTCGAGGCAGCACAGCCGCTCCCTTGTAAGTAGTTCCAGCGAAGCCATGTTCTGCTGCTGATTGGTCCAGCTATTTTTCGCCCCAGCTCATAGAAGGCTTTGGCAATGTCCAAGATGGAGGGTTGGCATACAACAACCCCACGTCTATGGCTTACGAAGAATCTAAAAGATTGTTCCCTGATTCTCGGACCAGCATAGTGGTTTCCCTCTCGACTGGTTCTGCAAGGCCGAAGGAGTCACAACCATCTACTACGCGGCGCTCATTGCTCGACTTCGTTCTCAACAGGGGGCCTCAAGTCCTATCTCGCCGTTTGATGGAGGATTCCTGCTTCGCCAGACTCTTCCGAGCATTTGTGAAGCAAAGCGAGCTTCTTGGCCATCGAAATATGGATCATGAGGGAGAGCTATTTCGATTTAATCTTGAGTTCGAAGGTCGCGGGCCGAGATTGGACAACGTCACAGGGCTAGAGGAACTTGGACGAAGCGCGAAGGAATCTATCCGCAAGTCGCCAGAGCTAACGAGGCTGTCCTTTGCATTCGTGCAGAGCTGTTTTTCTTTGAGCTAGACTATATGCCTCGGCTGCTGAACGGGTTCTACGAATGCGTGGGTCATCTGCATTGTCGCCTGCCCCCGGAACGCCAGCATTCAACACCTTTCTGGATCAACTTGATCGCGCTTCAGCAACTTTCAAAATTGCGGGTGCGGTCCTCGCCGTCAGTTCTCAGGGCCGCGATCTAACTGACCGAGGAGCCTATTTCCGTCAAGAGATCAGGTTTCGTGTCTGGGCGGCGGGTTCCTTTAAGATTATGTTGAGGAGGGGCATGTGGGGACAATCACATAAGCGGCTCCCTTTACTATTGACTGGCTCAACCAGGCGCAAAGGCTTGATGCCTGCTTTGGCTCGGCCGATCATCGTCCGAAAAGGAAACGAGATTGGGAAGCGGCGAGGGAAATGCCTAAGCGACAGAAAAGGGGAAAATGCGAGCGATATGTGACTGGTACTTCGCCACTCTTCATGTAACCTTATTTTGCGGGAAAGTATACGTCTGAAAACGTGCTATATTCCTTAATCATCGTCACTGTCAACGTAATATAACCCTCTCAGTATCCTTCTTTCCATACCCTCAGCATTTCCGTGTCGGGAGGTTGCGATAAACCTTCGAAAACAAAGTCGATCCCGGGAGAAGATTGTCTGAATCGTACGGGGTTGCTATCATGTCGACGCCGTATGTAAGGGTGGTACAAGCCTACAAAGTGTTTACATGCAGGAGCGATTTAAAGAAGGGTTACAGATGCCTTATTGGGCGTCGAGAAATTCTGTGCGTCCACTTATCATTGCAAACACAGCTGAGCTCTTCATTGTCTTGATCACTCAGTGGTGCTACGGAGACTCTAGTGTGTGGCGTTTGAGCTCCTGCAACGCCGGCAGGGACTTATCCAGCTCCAAAAGATATGTGGAGATGACGGTTTTGAGCGAAACTATCAAATCCGTTTGATCTTGAATCTGCATCTCAAGAGTTCGCTGGCTTGCCCTTAGTTGATGATTCTCCTCCTCCGCTATTTCTCTGCACCGACATTCTTCAGAGACCTTTTGACTGAGGACTTGAGTTTGAAGACAAAGCCTATTTTTCTCCTCTTGCAGTAGATCTATTGCCGTCTGAAAGCTAGGAGCTGAACTTGATGACTATACCAGTGTTACGTATGGGGAGACCGGGAGGGAAACGCAGCATACTGTAGCCTGGGACTCAGCTTCGAAGCCTTGGGCGGTCGAGAATATTGCTTCGAATGTGTGGCCGACTTCCTTGAGAGCAGGCGGTAGGTGCTTATAGAATGATCGCTCAAGTTCTTCAAGAATATTCGGGACAAATACGGCTTATCGGGAAGGATGCTCCAAGAATAGAAATCCTTCTCTCTAGGGATAAGACGAACTTCTGAAGGCTCAGTTCTGATGCCCAACCTATCGACTGAAAAAGTGTTAGCGTTCTGTGAAAAGGGTTTCTTGGCGGGCTTACGAATATGTGCCGACAGTCTTTCTCGACA